GAAGATCCACGGCGTGGGAAAGCGTCCAGTCGCTGGCGAACGATAGCGCGTCGAATCGGGGCGAAACAGAACGAATAGAGAGAAACACGAGGATCGGGGAAAGAAATCCGCGACGTAGAGCGACACGCGAGACGACAAAACAGCCTGTCGAGAAGAAATCCAAATCCCACGCGAACGAAGAAAGAGAAAGCAGCCTCGTTGTTTCCGATGCGAGCAAGAACAGAAATACTAGAACTACCTTAGAGAACAGTAATGAGAAAGGAAAGAGTCACGAAGAGCTTCTGGAAGAGTCGCCCAAAGTCACCGAAGATGTCATAAACGAAGAAATCGACGCTCGGTTTAACGAGAACGAAGAAGATCCAAGCGAGGAAGTCGAAGCAGAGGTTCCAGAGTTCGATTACGTGGAGGAGATCGAAGAAGATGATTCGGATAATGCTACTGCTATAGATGCCACTACCACCAGCTTGGATCTGCAGAAGTATCCGTTTTACAACGACGAGAAGCTGCCAACTCCGTCCGCGTTGAGGTACGCGATCGATCCACGAAGAGTGCCCAAGAAGACGTACGGTAAAATGGAGTTTTACAGTTCGCGGGACGCTTATAAGCACTGCGACGAAGTGGAGCCCAAGTTGGACGTGCTACCTAAAGAAGAGAGCCCAGTTCCTGATAGAGGCTTAAAAGAGGATCAGCCTCGACTGACCGGTTTAGGGGACAAGCTCGACTGTTTCAAGGCGAAATACTTCGACGAGGAACCGTTCGACAATCCGCTGTTCCTCGAGAAGGAAGTGGAGGATCCTGTACCAGCTTTGAACCTGGACACCAAACGATTCGCCTCCAGAATCATGATGTTCCCGAAAGAGGACGATGACTACGTGGAGCAGAAGTCTTCCAAGAGACCGGAAAGCAATCGTCAACAGAAGAGACCGGATACCATGGCTGCTAGGGTCCAGAAAACGCGACGTATTCGTTACAAAATGTATCCTAAAAGCAGAATGGTGACGAGACCGCGGGTTTACAGAGTAAATTCGCAAGGGAGGTTCGTGAAAACTACTCAGAGACCACGGAAGGTTGTAGTGAAACGGCCAGTCACGTCCGCGAGCGAAATGTCGTCGTTCTACATGCCCTATCAGAACCAGGTTTACGAAGACGTTATGGGGACCATCAGGAACATGGCGAACTCGTATCAAGTCGAGGAAATCACCACGGTGCCAACGTCGGAGGAAGTGACGATTACTACAACAGAGAGCAACAAAGTTAAAACAAATGCATCGGCTAATTCGACGAGTAATGGAAAAAAGGAAAAGGATGGCTTGATGATAAATATTATCGAACGTCCTAGCAACGTGCACGTCAATATCGAAGGGCTGGTACCACCGAATCGATCTAACAGACACCACACGATGAACAGCAGGAGCAGAGTTCCGCAGAGAAGCAGAACTAGAATGCAATTTGTGCAGAAGTCTGTGAGACCTGTCAAACGTCGTCGAAAGATTCGTATTTACAAACGAGATACAAAGAGTAACGAAGAGTACAAGATCAACGAGAACTCGAAAGGCAAATCAAGAGGCACAAATATTCCTGAGAAGAGGAAATCTAATTTCGTTAACGCTTCGAGCGACGGAGATCAGACGAAACAAAAATCTCAGAGAGTCGTTTACACGATCATGGACAGAATCAGACATTCGAAACCGAAAGAGGAGGCGAGAGGAATTGGTAAGTTCGCGAACGCGTCAAGGATGGAGGAAGATGGCAGAAGAAAGGAGCCCAGGTACAATTATATCAGAAGAAGGAAACCTTCGAATTTGGCATTGACTACGACCGAAACGTCGATCAATTCCACGGATAAAATTGATTGGACAGAGTCAACCACTGAAACGATAGCCACTACAAGTGGAATCGTCGACAGTCGGGAACTTCTCAAAGAGAATCAAGAAGTTCAATATTTCGTGAATAACACCGACAACGAGAAATTGAATTTTAATGAAACGAAATATAATAATAGTTACGCAGTTCACGAAAATATCGATGAGGCTACCACATGGAAACCATCAGAGATTTCTAGACTGGAGACATTTTTGGACACTGAACCGCCAGGGTACACTGATTTCTCTTCCGAGGAGCTGAAGAAATCCCTTTTCCAACGTAATAACGATTCCAAAGGTTCGAATTTCAGCAACGAGAAAGAAGACGAGGACTCGAAAGCGTTTCGATCGTATTTCCCCGAGGAAAAATCTGCTAACGAGAAAATGGAACCGAAAGAGTCATCAGAAGACAGCTCGTCGATGGAAAGCGATTCGAAGGAAGAAGATAGGACGTTTTTCTCTTATGCGGACAGACCCTTGTCGCCAGCAGAGAACAACGAGGACCAAAAATATTCCGAGCTTGGTCCACGCATAAATAAACCGTCGTTTTTCCACCCACCGTTCGCGTTTTCGAATCGTAGAACGTCTTCGAGCTCCGAAGAAGATTCCAAGGAGGCGGAATCCGCGGAACGAAAGGAGTACGTTTTTCCGTGGTACAGGGACAAAGAGGATAAAGAGAAACGTAGTCGATATCGTGGTCGAATGGGCGAATACGAGTATCCTTGGGAGAGGAGGGAACGTTTGGCGCGAGAGGAGAGGAGAAAACGAGAGGGAAAGCGTGGAAGGTTCAGCTTCGACGACGAAGACGATGACAACGATGACACCTTCGCGAGGAAATATCGAAGGAACGTTTATCCGCGAGGAAGGTATCGTTTCTGGTCTCGCAAAGAGGACGAGGACTCGAAGGAATCGGATAACGTGGAAATCAGCAGCGAGCATAAACCGATCATGAAGTATAGCAGCAGATACAATGCTAAGAACGCGACGTTGCCCGTCGACGAGGCATCGACGAACGCGGAGGACATTAGTAGATCCATTTCGAAGTTTCTCGAAGGGGATTCTGAGGAGAAACCGTCCAAGGAGAATAGTTCGCAGGAAAGGAGGCCCAATTCTCTGAAACGTAGTGGAATTTCTAGGGGAATGATCGTTCCTGAGGACGTCACTTTGCCACCGACGAGAAGAGGTCGAAGCAAAGATACGTCGAGGACTTCGACTGGTAATTCTACGGAAGTGATGGTCGACAGAGGCGATTCGTTACAGGATGAGGGGAAAAGAGGACACAGGAATACTTTGGACACTTCTGAGTCTCGATCGACGACGGAAGAACCGAGACAGAGAAGACGCAGACCGAAGACCGTTGTTTCGATGGTGGAAAGTACACCGAAACCTGCGACTCGAGCGAATCGAAGTCGTAGGAGACAGAAATCGACAACGCCTGGTATTGTTACGCCCACCACTTCGACGAGTACAACTTCGGCGCCGAGAGTCGTAAGGAGAAAGCCTCAAAAGTCGGTCAAGCATTTGAAAATAGGTACGGTTCCAAAAGTGGAGGATAGATCGAACAGCTACGGCGACAAGGGAGTAGAGACCTCGAGTAGGAGAAGCAAATTATCGAACGATTCGAAAATATCGAAAGAAAATGAGGGGAGAAAGAGTCGAAACGAATCGAGAAAATCTGAAAATACCACTGTTCGAGAGTTGAAAGAGAAAAGCTTCGAAGGAAGGGAGACATCGAACGAGAGTATCACTCGTCAGGGAGGAAATGGAGCGAGTCAGAATTCAGAAAGTAAATCTATTAAGCCTGAAGGTGAATCAGATCGCGAAGTTGCAAGGAAGAGTGACGAAGTGAACGACTCGAAGGAAACGTCGTTCGATGAAGGGAATCGCGAAAGATTTGATTTCAAAGACGTCAGGGTTGAAAAATTGAGCGACTTTGTCAAGTCTGATGACGATTATGACGATAAGTATGGAAATATTTTGAAGTCAGACACGAGTTTCACGCCGCAGGGCGCTGTTCAACTGTCCGAGCAAGGATCGAGGGAAATCGTTTCCACAGTTTCCTGGATATCGGAGAATTATAATTTTTAAGGTACCAAGCTTTCCTTTGTTCTATATTTGAAAATTTATAACCGAAGTAAAATTAGAAGAATTGAAAATATAATTGGAGAAGTAATTTGTTATTGCTATGATTTGGAAACATTTGTATCAATTTTAAGATGTACAAAAGAATATTTTATAAAAGGAATTAATCAATTTCAGAATCGTTTGGAGGACAACTTGCTGGGAAGTACTTGTCATTTACTTTCAAGAAACTCTTAACTTGAAATAAACTAAAATAACTGAAATATCCTGAAGCAACAAAAGAATAACAAAACGAAGAGTTTGAAAATCGAATTGTTATACAAACAAGAAGAGAAGAATGAATATGGCAAAAAGTCAAAGGAAAATCATCTAAAAATCAGGACTAAGGCTTTATTATTAGAATATCGTGATAAATTGTTATTAGTTGTACGATTAAAATATTTTATTTCGTTACGTGTTTCTATAGAATTCTGTTAAATATATAAAATCGTTTGTTATCGTTAACCTCTTTGTTTTTAACTTGTGTTGCTGTACATAAATCAGAGTATTTGAAATAAATATAAATGTTACATGAAAGGCAATACGTTGTTTTAGAGTTTTGGCAAAAACCTTGAATTTTTTCAGACTGGGTCAACCATTGTCTCTTTTATTAATAGAAAACCTAGTAAATATTTAATGGACACTTTTGAAGATAACGAATTATTATGTCGGCTGAGGATAATGATGCGTGCTATTAGAGTGTTGTATAAAGTATTTTACATTTAGAATATAATGACTTTATTTAATACCACGCTTTTACGGATTTTATGGTCTAAATATCGCTATAGCCGATAAATTATGCGAGTAAAATAATTAATTAGTTAACGTCAAAAGTGAACAAAACCGAATGGAATATTTTTTTCTTGTAAACGCTGAAATTTAATCAATAATTTTCAATTTTGAAATATGATACATACATTTATAGAAATTACTAACGTTTCAGACGAAGAATTAAAACAGGATCTCGTTTTCTAAATATAAATTCGTTCGATGCATTAACGTCATACAAATTCCTACATGCTTACTATACCTAATCACAAGAAAAATGAATTTTCTTCGACAGAAGTACGAGGAAAAGTGGAGTTACATTACGCATTCGCGATCAGCTTAGGTTTAAACGATGTGAGAGGTAAGTCAGCGCCCGCCAAGGTTAAGGTAGACGATATATCCTCCATTTACATACGCGTTGCATTCTAATAAAATCCAGCATTGGGTATAACATTCGGTACTGAAAGGAATAGTAGCCTTTGATTGGCTAATTCAGAAGCCAAGCCCCGTATATAATTCGATCTTTAGTTTGGTGCATTAGTTTCCTTCTTGCATCGCGTCGCGACACCTAAAGGGTCAATATGCTTTCTTCGAAGGTACGTCCACTTTTCGAGAAAAGAGAATTCAGGAAATAACTCTGCTTTCGTCACAATGCAAATAGAGTGGAGTACATTGATTTAGAAATACGAACGTTTGTACCAAAATGTCAAATAAAAATTCTTTTGCGCGAAGTGCATCGAGGAAGAATTAGTGAACACGAAAGGACAATATAACAGCAATAACTTGACTACTATTTTATTTAATATCAGATTTACTGCTTTCTAAAATTGCTTTATGTAAACGTCAATATAAAAAAGTTTAAATACTTTTATAAATGTATGTAATGTTTATAGAATTACTTGCAGCCATTAAATGCAATTAAACCGATCGTGTACTGCTATGGTACAAAATTAATATTGTAATTTCAACAAAAGTAAAGTGAAACAATGCGACAAAGGCATTTCCAATTGCGTGTGCTTGAATTAGTGACACATTAACAGAAAGGACATTGTTTCTCGCACAATAATTAGAAACCATGCGTAAGTGGTTCGCTATTCAAAGTTAAAAGAGAAAATAGTAGATCACGCGAGTGATACAAATCACGCGAGTAACGCTGTGAGAGGTGATTGTGTCCCCCAAGGTCCATATGTGTTACAGTTCTGCGAATATTAGATTTATGTCCATTGAACTGCATTCAGAGAATTGAAGTTCATTGAAAACATAATTGAAATCTTTAATTCTTTGAATTAAAGTTTTCTGTAATTTTATTTTCGTAGCTATCTGTCTATTGTTTTTGAACACGATAATACCATCGTGTATGCAAGGTTCTGCGATGACGAAAATCATCGAAATAATATCCTCGTTAACGATTGACCAACGGTAACCTTACTCCGCGGATACAATTTGATCTTCGACTTTGTGCTCAAATTTCGCCTGTTTCGCGATTTGCCAACGAGAAATGCGGACCTGTCCAAAGTATCAAACAATTATCTTTTATTCAAGCGCAATTTCTGTCTTTATTTATCGATTGAACCTCTTTATTACTCGAAACGTAACTACAGACGAAAAAATATTTTTAGAAACATAGTAAAAAGAACTCTTTATCGTATATGTTGAAATGAAAGTACTCAAGTGTCTCGTGACAAGTTGTCTATGCGCAAAAATGTCACAGGGAAAGTGAAATCGTTTAACGTCTAACAGTTAATGCTTCGAACGTATTTGTTTATTGTTTTGCGAAATTTCTAAATTTGTACGCGACAACGGTGATATATTGTCGTGAACGTCGTTTGAAACGAAGCAAAGACTAGGTTACAAATAATAGTGTACTTTCTATCTGCGATTATCATTCGCTATGGTTATCTAACAAGGGAAATGGCTATGCTTTTAACTGGAAGTGTTAAATCTATTTTGAAAGTGTCACAATTGGGGATTTAAGACAATGGTATGGTCTACAAACAATCAGTATTGTACCATATCTCAAGCTTCAGTTCAATTGAAAATTTGTGCTTATTGAAATTTATCTCACAATTTAAAATTTCTTTTTATAATTTATATTTTTAACTATTGTGTGTATGATGAATTTAACTCGATTATGTGCAATGCTGTAGAATTCTATTACGTGCAGTTGAAACTATACATACTATAGCAGATAGCAGATGTTATTTAAACAAAATGAAAAAGAATTTTGTAATTGGAAATGTACCATGAGCTAAACTTAAATGAAAGATAAGAATGTATTATTTTATTCTTATGAAATCTAGCCAGGAAATTGTTTATCTGTATAATAGTTGAATCCTACAAAATATTGCCACATTTATTGTCAACAGTTCATTGTTTGCAGACCATTTTGCCGTTAACTGTGGTTGGTTTGCTAAGCTTATCAACAGTCACACCGGACAGCGCAGGAATCGTGGAAATGGTGAATGGATTGGCGTACGGTAAGCCAGTTTCTCCTTACTTTCTGCCAGTAAAGCAAAACTAAGGATAATCTACTACTCCGTATCACTATAGAAGAGATATAAAATAAACCTAACAATGAAAGAATATTTTACGTTATACAAGACTCTAGTTACAGTTCATTCATTACTTTCGTATCCAGTGTCATTGATTTAGAATGGAATAAGATTGCAACGCCTGTTGCGGTAAGAACTGAAACTATGAATTGACCTAGTGAAGAAGTATATTTACGATGACCTATGCAAGGGGGATCGCAGCCAATTTGCTAATATTACTTAGTTTTTAATTAATAATTGCATTACCCAGCTAAGAGCGATACGATTATTAATTAAACCGTTAATAATATTACCCAGGTCTCACCACGTGGAGGTTGCTGCGAATGGAGACCCGCTCTAACCAAATCCCAATCACCCTCCATTAATAAAAATCTTCTGTGACCAATGAAAGATGCACAACCAACGAAGAGAGTATTTGAACCAAAACGTTTGTATTCAAATAGAACCCTGCTTGACATAATAGTTAATATAGATAATGTTGGTCGAAGAAGCAATAAACGAAAGTGCAACCAACGAAAGAGTTTTCTGAGATAGAATTTGCCTGTAAATGGTCATCAACAAAACAGAGAAGTAAACCAAAATATTGTCTGTTTGATATTGACAAATATTGTCTGTTAATATAGAGAACCAAACTCCTGTTTAACTATAACTCTAAATTCGTTTATATCCGGATTCAGACCTTTCGTCCTACAACATGGGGACCGAAGGAATAAAAATCACATGCAACTCACTGGTCAGTAGTGGTCAGTAGTGGTCAGTAGTGGTCAGTCCTGGTCAGTCCTGGTCAGTAGTGGTCAGTTCTGGTCATCCCTGGTCACCAGTGGTCAGCTCGGTTCACTAATGGCCAGAGGTAGGCCCCCGAATTCGCGAGACCCGATCCTCCTGGAATCCCCAGGGGTACTGAAAGAGTATGATAGCAGTGACTCTCCATATACTTCTTCCTAAAGTGGAAGAGTGGGGAGTTACAGACAAAGTTGACAGTCTGGTCTACAGAACTATTTCGGTTGGTCCTACCTCTTGGCTATTCCTGGACTTTGATCTTGATGTCAGCCTCACTCTTGACCATCGATGACCATTACCTAACCATTGTTGACAAGCGAATAACCAACGACCCATTAAAACCACCAAGAAGTCGAAGATTAAAGCCTTCTTACAAGGATCCCCTTAAAATTGAATGCACGATCTTTTGAACATTTTGTTCCACTTGCTTATTCTATTATTATTAAGCATAATCTTATAATCAAAAGCAGTACTACTCCAAGAATGATAGTTGACAGAAACTGTAATGAAGTCTAAAGGCTCATTCCGTTAAAAAACAATAAAATGTCTGTAATTTTATGTTCTGTCTCACTTCCTCTTGTGTTCTTTCGTGTAACCTGTTGGTAATGTTGCGAGTGGCACGAAAATGGCAATGGGGCTCTAGAGCCCCAGAAAAATGGGCCGAAAAAATACATTGGATGTAAGGTCTACTTGTATACTTCATCTGTGGTGAAAGTATTTTTTGAAACTGTTTGATTTAATTCTCATTGCTAATAGCGCTAAAGTCTAATTCCATACTGAATTGATAACGTTGGATTTGACGCCTAAATGGTAAATGGAAAAGACATTGTCTATTACAGCCACTAAAAGGTAGTTTTAATTTTGATGCAATACTATATACAGAAATGCAATTAATTCTAATCATTTTACATGTGTTTGTTATTATTTTTTTATTCAGTAGTATAACTGTAGAGGACGACACCATCTTACAAAATCATTTCGTTCGTAATCCTTTCACTTTCCAGAGTAGAATGTTTGAACTCAAGACTGACGAAGGAATTCCATTAATTTAAAAAAATTACTAAACTATAGATGGTGAGAAATATTAAACGTCACTGTACTTTTGAATTATGGTCAACAACAGTAAAATGTCTGGTCTTTTAATCCACAGAATTCAATGCTTAAGTAGATGGTAATGCATGATGTTTACAATATTCCGATTACAGCAACGCGTAAAAATGACAGTAGAGACGAATCATATACATAGTTAAATAATTTACATTAATTAATAGTTTTGTCTTGCTGTGATAACGTATCACGAATATTTAAGTAAACCCATTAAATATTGCGACAATTCAGATCCAAACAATGAATTTGTATTTGCTCGAATCACTTTAACTATTCGATAGTTTTGATTTTCTTTTAGGTCATCTATTGAACTGATTTGTCTCTTCTGTTAATTATTGTTATTTTGTTACAGGTGGGATCCCATACGGAAGCGTAACTGGCATGGTGTCCAAGTATCCAGGATTTATGAGACAACAAATCAACACACTCCAAGCTCGACCATTAGGTGGATTCAATTCTGCTCGACCAGTGGTTGTTAATCCAAATTTCAGAAGCACAGTACAAGGAGTACAACCACAAACCGTGCAAATTTACAATCTTCCACGTATCGTTGGCAATATTGGTCACTTACGATATTAAACTCGATTAACTCGAAAATGTTAAAAATAAACCGTTTACATGATCCAATCTTCCAGATTCATTACAATTTCCTTAAACTTCTTTTAGCCTCAGTAATCTCTTATGCCAAAAACATAAATATGCAATTCGATAAATTAAACTCACATTTGTAAATGCAATTAATTGCCATTGTTAAGTACTACTTATTGACGATATTTAAATTCGTTTCGATTCATAATTAATTTCAATGAACGAGTCTCAACTGTTGCAATAATGATACTGATAGAAAGAGAAACTTATCTTTAAGCATATTCACACACAAAGTAGAATGAACAGGTATCGTAACATTGTAAATAACGTTGGCAGTTTATCCAGCTTCGAAGCAATGTTTCACTGCTAAAAGTGTTCATTTGACTGTGGAAGGAATAATATTTATTGTTTCGGTGTCAGGTGAGAGGGCAAAGTAACGACTAGTCTTATATTAATATCGACTCAAACTGGTTTCTTGACAAGGCGTTTAAGTTTATTGCAACACGCGAATAGATACTTTTAAATACGATGAAAAGACAACTAAGTTGAGAGTGTTGCATACAAAATTTTCTGAATGCAACGAACGTGTTCTAACTCGTAAGAAGTCAGCTATATCCTAGAACTAAACTTGGAACAATAACGATTATTTCTAGAAAGATAATTTGCACAATTTTATTCTTTGCCATCATTTAAATATCATCGAAGATATTTAGCTTCACGGTTTGAAATTCTGAACACCGAGTACTGTTTTGCCAGGTAATAAAGTTGTAAAGATAGACAGAGTGGTATCATGAATAATGAAGAGACAACAGGCGGATTATAAATGTATGCAAATCGTGTAAGGATGAGAATATTTCTCATAATTGTGAATGAAAGAATATTCCCTTTCAATTGGATTTACTCAATCACTGTGTAACAAGTGGAAAGAGGATTGTAAGAACGTTTTGACAAGTAATGATTGGTTTGGATTCAACTGTAACGGATGGTTTTCTGCCACGTGAACCGGGTAATTGTATTTCCAAAGCATGTGACATAAATCTGTTCCGAAATTTCAAAGAACATGTCGCTGCAAACATTTCCACAGATTTATTATTCTTGAAGTTACGAAGTCCATTGCTATAATTTTGTACGATCCTATAATTTCGATTTAAATGCTTTTTGTTCACAAATTTTCCAACAGAATTATTCAAACATTTGGTACGAGTGATTCTTTTCGATTCTACCACTGACCTTTACAACTTCACCTTGAATTGACCTCTTAGAGAAATTAACTACCCTTTAAAAATTAAAATTTTCTTTTTTGTTGTGACAAGTATCGAGGATATATGTCCAAATGGTGAATATTTTTTAGGAATATCGAGCAATATTTATACAAGGTTATTTGGACCTCTTCAGTTGCACAGAATTATTTAAAATTAATAATAGGTACAAGAATGTAAAATAAGTTTAAAATAAACTGAAGATATGAAACCTACATTTTATTATTTCTCCATAATTTCACAAACAAAAGTTGCATAGAACAAGTTTGTAGAAAATGTATTTTATTGCAATACTATACTCGAAGATAAAGAATGCAAATTGTTTCAAATTTGTTGGTCAGTGTAATCAGTTGTTTCGTGTATCGTGTATCGATTCTTGTTCAAATAAAAACGCCCCACCGTGGTTCTGACTTAAGTTTCAGCTATTCTTTGATGTATGAAAAATTTTCCAGACTAGTGTTATTTGAATTAGGGCAAAAGCGTTTATGGAGAGAAAGTATAAATGACATCGGGCACGGTGTATGGCTGTTAGTCGTGACGAGTCGCACGCACGATGCATTACCCGCTGCACGTGAGTATATGGACACTAATTCGATCCTCGTTGGTAGAAAACAAAAAGAGGAGCCACTCTTTCGCAACTACAAAGACGAGATTCACCCTACGTCGATGCACCATGCACTTTTTTGGAACAGAAATCGAGAAAATTCATTATTATTCATTGAGTGTGTTTGCAGAGTTCAGTGATTGGTTAAAAACGCAACACTTTGAGTAAATTAAAAAAATATTCAAGTCTTGAACTATTTCCCCAACGTCATTGGTAAATTAAAATTCAAATTTCTAATCAAATCGTATTTGAAAAATTATAAAATATTGCTACAGAATTTGAAAATAGAAGTGACCCTATAGAAGCAATATATTAGTATTTACATAATGATGTGCATTGATTTGTCAATTGTGAAAGGTAGAAATTTATAGCACATAAAAATTAGTGGTGTTAACAACGATCGATAATTTATTGCTACATGGTGCATCGTGTGTTGCAACACGAAGAGATAATCAGTCTACTCGCACTTGTGCCAGTTTTGCAATAATAAATGACGAAGTCTGTTGCATTTTCGTTGGATGAAAGCATAGAACACTCCGATAATTTATTCTGTGCCACAGTGTAAACCCTTCGATCAGATAAGGCGATTTTAAATGAATTTATTAGTGTAATGTGCAACCCTACAGATTTGTCGGTGTCGCTATTTGTGATTGGTACAATAGAGTTTACGTATTCGCGATAATTTATAGCGATTTGTGAATAATGTGCTACACAGATGTTGTACGAGATTTATACGTGTCAGATAAATTTTAATGAACTGTTCTACAATACGTCTGCTACGAGCTTTGTATCTATATATTCAAAAGTGCACGTCCTTGCAAGAAGAAAGGATTATACGTTGCATAATCATGCTAATTACGATCCGAGTATAACAATACGAGATCGTACTTACTTTGTGTTCTGAGAATGCATTCCACTTAAAATCTGTGCAATTAGTTGTAAATAATAATAATTATCCGGGACTGAATTGCATTAAATTAAACACGATGCTGAAAATGGTACATTAATTGTTGTACAGGTATCACGTCGCTTTTTGTTTGATTAGATTTTATTAATAAAACTTACGATTCATACAGATTTGTTCAAGGGATAAGGACGATATTGATTTGTTCGATCGATGTGAAAGCTTGTATAGTAATCGGTTCGGTTGGAGGTATATTCGATAAATGTGAATGTGTTTTACCTTATTTTAGATCACGATAGTGGCCATTCACGAGACTATCGTCGTGTGTAAATAGCCACACGTGCTTTATTACGATCGCGTAATATGTACGCTGCTTGTAGAAATGAACCTCGTGAATGAGTAACATGTGAATGGAATATAATCCCTTTTACGCTTTAGCGATAATTTAACGCATTAATTATTTATGTATCTTCGTGTATCATCGATAAATAATTATTTGATCTAAAACCACGTTTACATGAAAAGATATGTAACGAAGAAACATATTTGGAAATATTTTAAAGAATTTGGAACAAAATTTTTGACGAATTTTTCTTTTTAGGGCCCCTATCAGATGCATATAAATAATAACACGGAACAACAAAAGTTTCTAGAAATTTTATTAGTTGAATTTCTTTTTTAGTAAAAGGGGATTGGAAATATAGTGGAAAGTATTTTCAGACCATCGAGCTTCAAACTAATTTGCTATTGTATAACACCGTAATTACGATCCGATGAAACGTCCAAACTAATAAGCAGTAATTCATCGAAACTATTTTCTTGAATGGGCTGCACCGAGCAGCACAATAATTGCCGTTCGTTTTCCAGCTTTCTTCCATGCGTGCCGTATATTTCATAATATAACTCGAATATTATACAACTACCGCCAATTATTTTCACAAGCATAGGCAATTTCGTTCTCAGAATCCCAGGAATTTCAGGAAGCAATAAGTTCGCTGCGTTCGATTGATTCGTGAAGCGTTCCGACCTCGCGTGAAACAGGTTCCATGAGAAGAAATGAACAATATTGATTGCTTCCCGTTACGGGAGTGTCGTATTCTATAACAAAACACGAATACCAGCAATTCTTGTCTAATAGACGATGTTAACCCGAACGTTGACGTATGATCAGTGTCAAAATGATAAAGGAATCGCTGAATGTCTCTGCTAATATGAATGAATCATCGTTCGGATATCCAAACGCTAAACTAACGACGTACAAAATTAGTAAATTTAAATTTAAATCAATCATTGAAAAAAAAATCAACAGAGAAAAAAACAGGACTCTTGAACCATATACGTTGTTCTATTTTAATTTTTTGATGATGTAATCATAGTTGTGGTTCGTTTAAAAATTATCCCTTTCAAACACAATAGGATTTGCAATATTTTTCATTGTAGCTATATACAATATTTACGAACTGTTCAATATTTTTCAGTCTATATTCTAATTAAATTGGTAATATTAGAGTTTAAAGAAGATAGCTATTAAACTGTAAAGTGACAATCTAAACGTCTATTTATTATTGTCTAAACATTTTTATATTGCGTGTATCTAATATTCTCGTGTATACACCAACAAAATTCCTAATAATTATAGTTTGATAGTACAGTATTATAGAAATGTTTGAATACGTTGGGGCATGTATTTATAGCTATTGCAACTTCGAAATTTGCACAATCAATCACAGTATATTTCTGTATACATTTTAGTCAAATTCTGGAGAAAAATCGTACTATACGTTCCAAGATTTCTAAATGCACGTTCAGTTCTCTGGCCAGTGTCTTTAATTGCATCCTCGAAGTTTGAACGATCAATCACGATGTATCGTTCGTATCCCGGAAAAGTTAATGTCATAGCTCGAAGAAGACGCGGCAATCGACAAAATCGAAACGTCCGTTCAGGTGTCCAACGAGTGTTATTTTTTCTTCCGTCCTGGCGGTTGCACCCTCGAAATTTGCACAATAGTATCGCATCGGAAGCAAGTGTGTCACGTATGAAACGGTGCGTTGATCTTCGGATTCGCGCGCGTACCGCGGGTTGCGTCACGCAATGACAAATAAAACATCGTATTAGAGAAAATTGCTGGCTACGAGGATCGCGGAGTCTCATTACGTGCCCCGCGTTACGCAGTCCAAAGGGAAGCGTAGAATTTTCGCGATACAAAGTGAAAGAATGCAACGATTCCACGTTTCTGACTCTCGATTTTCTCCTGTTGCAGATAACGGTGCTCTGCGCAGGGCTATGGATCCTACGAGGCGATGCTCACGCGGCTAAAACCGGCGTCAGTAAGCAGATTATTATGTCCTTCTGGGAATCCGTGAATGGTCTGCGTGCTCGGCCTTGAACTACTTTTTTTTAAACAATAACTATTATTATTAGAGACACCGAGTCGCGCAAGTGACGTTAATTCTACCCTTTTCTCTTCTATTACTCGCGTTATTACAATTGCACGTCAAAGATTGAACAACTCAGCCACAATGAAATACGTTTCACGAACATGATTGCAATGGTAATAAAATGGAAGGCCTTCGAACATGGTTGACACGAAGAAACAATTTCTTTTTTGTATTTTCTTGAAGAATATAGTTTGGAAAATATATCTGCATCACCTTATGCCTGAACTACTAAAATTAACGAAATTATTACTGTTTAAAGACAGTTATGGAGATGCAAAACTTTAAATACATTTTTCTCGAAACTATGTTTTCCAAAACTGTGTCCACGATACAGAAAAATCTACTTGATCAATTTACTTAAAATTTTAGGTACACATTCAGTACATATATGGCTATAACCCCTATCAAAATCAACTCACAATTTTCATTTTTTATATTTTTTTAGAGCCTTCGAACATATTTTAGCACGAAGAAACTTTTTTAACACTTTTACTCTCAATCCATTATGGAACTGAAACAAATAATTCTGAAATTTAAATATTAAAGGAAATAAATTCAAGTAGGATTCGTGAATTTTAGCGAGGTTACGAAAATGAGAACTGAAATGAATTTTGAGTTATGTAGTCTTCAATATCGAATCAAAGTTTTGGTCTAGTAAATAATTTCACGATTTTCCTATAGTGAAAAATACGCTGCTTCCAAATTATTCCATTGCCCAATAAGCGACGATAGGCGACTGAGATCAAATTCAAGATTACCAAACAAATTACCAAACGGGTCGATAATTTTCGACCATCTTCTTATTCGTTTGTACACGTAACAGGAACGGATAAAAGCCGATCGAAATGTCAGGTGAATAAATTAAAAACAATCGCTGCGCCCGGTGCGAAATTCTGCTAAATTTGTCGGTCTCGTATCAACCGAATCGGGGCAAAATGTTTTAAGAGGAGAAAGTACAAGTGACATCTCGCATGATGTATGTTTGTTACGATGCGCACGATGCGTCGAGCGACGCACGCGAGTCCACTAACGCGATCCTCGTTGACAGAGGAAAAAAACAGGTGTTTCGCAACGACGAAGACGATATTCGTCCTACATCGATGCTACGTGTGGTAACAGGGCTACCACCGACGCGCGAATCGTAGAAATTAACTGTCAATTCGATATAATTACAACTATTTTGTTGGCCTACATTGTGCTTGGTCTAGAGAAAGTAAACAAATTTTTTGGTTTCAAAAACAAGATATGTCTGTAGCTTAATTATATTTTTCAAGTAGCAATATATGGGTTTAAAAAACAAGTTTCGTTTCTTTCCAGGAGAAAGAAGGCGTGTCATACCTTATTCGAATCACACATAATTTAATCAAATTTCTATTGTACTCGATATCAGAAAATGATGGTTGAAAATTTCTTAATTTCTCATTGATTACGTAAATAATCTCCAACAATTCGCGCTCGCCAATTAATCCAACGAACGACGAAGCATCCAAATAATTCATGTTTTGACATAGTCGAACGAAACCTAACACGTTTCCTTCTAATCGTGTAAATCCTACATGTTAATTTCGTTGTATATCAAATGTTGATCCGACCACCTCCCAATTCATATCAAACGAATACTTTCTAAATTTGCGTAACAGGTCCCGAGGTGCTGACGTCGTTCGCCAAGAACGTCGCGTCCGTCCTGTCGTCTACCTTGCTGAGCGACTTCCAAGATTCGCCTTCGAACCAGTCGTCCACGAATTTGGGCTCCCCGAAAAAACCGCCAGAGACACAATCGAACAAGGAGAGCATCGAAACTGCGAGTCCGTCGGCCGCGGGGAAGCCCCCGGGTCGCCTCAGGAGGTTCGTCGGAGGTCCTCGGACCTCGAACGAAGGAAGAAACAGGTTCCAGAACGCTTACGTAACCTCGAACGTTCCTCAATTCTTGAATCGATACAGCCAAGAGCCGATCAAACCGTACGAGTTCGCGGTGAATCGCGACCTGCGCGTTCCACAGAACGGGAACAACAAAAACGTGAACGCCGACGCGAGAGACAACTCCATCGACGCTGAGATCAACGCGGCGTCTCTGCGTTACTCCAATCCCCAGTTCAAATACAAACCCGAGCTGGTCGATTCGTTGGCGAACGCGAACCAGTACGGGCATTTTGGCTTCCCCAATTACAATCACTTGCATCAGACGCCTGGAACCGCGCAATCATTGAACGCGAATGGGATCGACGCCAACGGGGGAGCCAACGAAAACGCCCAGCCGACCCAAATAACGCACAGACCGTACAACCTGAACTACCACGGCCCCTTCCACGGTCCCCATCATCCGCCATTTTACAGACACCCGGATTTCTACCCGAACCACGGACCTGTCGAAGGGAACGGTCAGCCTGCGGCTCCAGAAACCGAGCAGGTTGACGGTAACCCGTCCAGGATAACCGAGGATCAGAATCAAGGACAATCGACGATAGGAGGCTACGACTATCCACGTTTCTACTATCGACCGCCTTACCACGGTGGATTTTATGGACCGCCATACTTTTACAATCATCCTTACAACGGCTCCTTCGATCCAGCTCTTGAACAACCTGGAGGCAATAATACACATGGTCATTTCCCTCACGGTTTCCCTGGGTATGGATTTAATCCTTACGGTCCTTACCAGCCATACTACCCGAATTTCCACGGCTACGGGAGACCTGCTCAGCCTCAAAATCCGCCTGAGAACGCAGGAAACGCTGAGCAATTAGAAAATGGTCAAAATGGTCAAAATGGTAATTCCTCGGCCAATCAGCCACCGTACGGATATCCACCGTACGGACCATTTTATGGGGACGTTCACTTCCCAGGATATCCTCTGGGGCCTATTATTCCACATCGTTTCCATCATGGGTTCCACGATCATTTCATTCATCGATTCAAACTGGGCCCGTATTTGCCCCCAGAACTTTACGGATATTTCGCGCCAGGCCCTTGGTTCCAACCATTCGGTGGACATAATAACAAGAACAATGGTAACAAACCTGCAATGATGCCCGAGGATGCCGCGAAACCTGCTGAGGCGGAGAAGACTATAAACGCGAGCCCAGAGAATTCGGGAATGGGTATGAACAGCGACGCGGAAGTGATATCCGAGAGCAAGTCGGAAGGAATCGAAACCTTGCCTTCGAATGGACACAAGAAGTTTCTTTTTCCATGGTCTTTGGCCAAAGACAAAGATAAACTAACGCGCCAAGAGTTTAATGTATTAGCTGAGAATAGAGACTCGGAGGATTAAGATTTGGAATGAAGAATTGTTTTATTGTAGGATAAGGTTGACGATATTGGATTAAATTTAATATACGGGGGTCGAACGATGGATGGTGCAACCGAGGAGGGAGTGGTTTGATTTATTTTACAAACAAAGAATGAAGAATTAAAATTTTTCTATCGAAAGTTTCGTTGGACTTCGGTGCAAGTAGAAAAGGTGGGTTATGGACAGACATAGCGAAGCGATAAGTGTGCACTTATTTGGGAAACAAAATTATGTAGGATCAACCCTTTCTCGGTTGTACTATCGATACACCCCGTATAGATCTTTGTTAGTTAATTATTTAAGTGAACAACGCTAATAGTATATAGCTAAACTAATTAAACGAAATAAACGTATATATTTATTAATTTTCAGCGCCTATGGTTGTGAAATAGTAAATACCTTTCGTTCCATGAATTACACCTGCACACTTATACTTCCCTTGCAAATTCTTTTTCATCCTTAATATGTTTGAGTTAATATAGTGTGTGTACTTGTTACTTTATAGTGTTTCTAATTACACTAATGTTACTTAAAAGGTCTCAAGTATTATTGATCATTTGACGTACATATGTAAATGTTCTAATTGAAGTTCCCAATTAATTCAGTTAGAAAGATTGGTCCTAGCCAGTACCATTTCTAAGCATTTTCTTATTTCATTCATCGCTCGATAAATACAATATGTAGGTCATTTATCCACTGTACATTTTTTAGTCATTTCAGCGAGTAGATACAATCCCTTAAATATTTCCTCGCAGGAGACAGCCCAATGCAAAAGGATAATTTAGCTATTTGAATCGACTGAAATTGCACCGTAATAAACGATCAAAGTTTTACATTTTTCTCTCCTTGGTTGCCAGTTATTTTTATGGATTCTTGTTCAATGAAAGTGCCCGCCCATTCACAAGACACGTTACGAAACCGTTCTCTCGAGCAGTGATTAAAACAAATAAACGCCCACCATTGAACGTCGCGCGACTGATTTCGATCTCTCGTCCTCGCCAAGTGTCGGCGACAAGAAAAATCGCGAATAGCGATCCATCGACGGGGGAAAAATATAATTGGTTGCTGACACGGTGTCCGCAACGACACGTGCCGTAACTTGGCATTGGTCAGCGATGGATTCCCATGGTTATGATACACAAAAAGGTTCCCATAGCTCCGGCTGGCCTTATCCTGCAATTATCCGTCGTGCCCACGGTGCGTGCCAACTACGGTCTAATAATTTTCGTGACCTCCGCGAGAAGATTTTGCATACGCGTGTCGCATATCAATGAGGATGATCGACGAACTACGTGCAATGCATTCTGCGTCGATCAGGGTTGCGTAACCCACAAACCCTTTCCTGGTCATAAATCGAGTAGCGCCGACCGAACGAAGCGTGGGAATTCGAAATCCTGTCAATGTAATTTTGTTCTTACTTGGAAACGTTACGATTTTGATGAAAATACGACAGGTAATTTTTTACAAAATATTTGACACGTATTTTAGTGGCTGACACACACATTGAAAGGGTAAGTAAAATTAATTGAAGAATTTTGTTCAAAAACTCTGAATTAAAGAATTTCTTTTTGCCCTGTTTTTCCCTTCGTACAAAAGAGTTTTTAATAATAATAATATTAAAAAAATACAACCAGGCAGAAAACATTTAAATTAAAATTAATAACACAATAATAAACTCGAACTAACGACGCCTCCAAGGTGAATATGTTTGAACATTTATATTAAAATTAGTAACAGAACAATAAAATCGAAGTATAACGACGCCTCCAAGGTGAATATGTAGCTGCGCGTAACACGCGGAAAGTCCTTCGACGTTCGCAACGTAGATCGCGTATTCTGGGGAAACGGCGTTAAAACAGGGGGAAAAATGATCGCGTAATAAGCAGAATTAGACTCCGAGTGCTTTAGACGCGATGATTCATGAACAGGCATCGATGAATACAAAATTAATACAGTAAACGACGCCGCGTGTATTGATTTCCAAGCAGCATCGCTATCGCGCGATAAAACATTGTTTTCGCGTTTAAAAAATTTTGAAATGCACAAACCGTGTGCAACGCAGCGATCGGTACGATGGAAAGCAGTCTGCAATTAATGAATCGCGTGGAAATAATTACTCATCGCGTGCACGACGATTAATTACGCGAGACGCGTGGAAGACGTACCGTGTCTTTTCTCGAATCATCGACAGATTTCGACGGGATTCGCGAGTAGATCGAAAACTCGGGTTTAACAATAAACAATTAATATCGTCGTGAACACCAAAATGCTTTCAGGTATTCGTCGGGCAGTATTACAATCGGTATCAGCCGCAATCCATTACGCGTTTACTGTAATTAATGACAAACGCATCCACGGGTACCACACGTGTCGCAATCATCTTTTTTTTTCGCGATTTCGTCCCACGACACGCACCATGTAATTTCACCATTTTGTAACGACAATCCCCCCTCCCCCCTCGCCCCTGTTACGAAACCGTCAACTTTTCTTCTTTCTGTTTCGATCACCATAGTCACCGGCACCATCTCTTCGGTTAAATCCGCCAGATCGAGCGTTCGTGCACGCATTGTCCCTTCTCGCATAATTAAACCGTCCATTAGCGTCGTAATGAGCAGTGCTCAACCCGTCATCTTGTTCCTTTTTTATCGTAAAAGATCTCGTATTATACTTGACGAGGCAGTTTAAAAGGATTCGCGAAGTGCACATTAGCCTATTAACCCTTATCAATCGTACGCAAGCATTCGATCAGGCAGATACGATACGACTAACTGATCGAGAAACGTATCTACATAAATTAAGCAAATCTCGAAAAGCTATGGACTTTTTACTAAAAATGTTTTTATATCAAACTAGATCCTAGATCAAAAATAATTTGAAGACACTTCATTGCATCACTGAGTGTATTTATATGTAAATATATTTCACTTTGAAAAATAAATTGTTGATAACTTTTAATGCAATGAAATCTCTAGCCTGTATATCGATTTGCTTTTTTGTTTCCCTCTGAATTTGTTTCTGTAATGTGAAATGAATTCACAACAAAATATCTACTTTTTATTACTTCGTTTTTGGGAACATATCGATACACCGATTTCATGATATAAAATTACATACTTTTAGTTACCAGCTTTTGGATATCGACATACCTGCGTTGTCGACGATTTTAGTAGATCGTGTATTAGTATCGTTAATCATTAGTGACCATCGTATCGGTAATATTGATCCCATTGATCAATTCGTAGGGCAAGCAGCAATCCGCGATATTACAATAAGTAAGCAAGAAAGCAAATCAGTGATCTGTAACCTTCGACCTGTGAGTCAAGCGGTCACGATATCATAACGTCTACCAGCAAATCAAATACAGCGTCAAAAATGTTATCAAGTAGAAGAAGGAAAGTCTTTCCAATACTATTCATACTCATATTTGTACCAGTAATTGATTTATCTTTTTGACATTACTTTAACCAACTCCAACTTTACTACTGTGTTATAAAATACCAGTGATCACAAAGATGAAAAGGTTATCAACCACTGATGCATTCTGTATATTAGATCATTATAATATTTCAATATATTTGAAATCAATGTAACACAGAATAAATCATGAATAAAAATTTCATATCACCCACATATGATATGATTTTTTACTGAGCTAAAAGAAATTAATTCTCCAGATTAGATTAGATTAGGTTAAAGAAATTAAATCTAGATAGGACTCTTGAATTTTAACGGGGCTGTAAATATAAATTGTATGACAAATTGTGGGTATGCTAGTTTCCAATTATCTAAAAACAAAGTATCGTTTTCGTGGATGATCGACGTGTTAAAGATAAAAAATTATCGATGGGTACGTATGAAACTGATCAACGTCTCCCACCACTTTGAATGATATTTTCGACCTATCTTGGTAATCCAAAAATTGTGCTATTCGCCAAAGCATAACGAGAAGAATGGAAATTCTTGCATCCAGAAACCGAAGTTGAAACGAACACGGTAATTTTCGACGACCGCTTCGAAATACACGATTCACTGCAATAGGCGTTGCAAAATTATTACCGCGAGTATGCGAAATTTCCCGAAACGAACTTGCGTTTTACAGAAACGTCCCAAAACGTTTCCATTTGATATCGTCGTGCCGCAATCGCGCAAAAAGTATTAATTCTACGGTTAGCCTGATTTCATGGAATTCGCCGGGCACCGCCACTACGGGATTAGCGACGTGTTGTATTGTTTTTCCACGGGTTTCTCAGAAGGTAAGTAGAATTGAGAAACGTAATAGAACGTTTCTTGAGACGTAAGAGTGGCACCCTCGACGAATTTGGATGTCAAGGCGCTGTTCACAGGGCGTGCATGTGTGGCCATCCCGAAACGCGTTACTGCATCGTGTCTCTTTCATAATGACGCATTGCATTCGCATAATCTCAGGGTAACAATGCCGGGCATTGCTATTAGTGTTAACAGAGGAAAGCCAATACGAAGGCTGGGAAAATTGCAGTCGGGGGACGTGGCGGGACACGTCTTTCTTATAAAAGAACCGGAGACCAACGTTGGACGGACAGTGGTATTCTACTGATAGAGAAAAATTAGTGCATTTACTCGAGGAACAAACAGGCTGGTGTCAGCTGACAGAGAATGGCTTGCTTGAAACTTGTAAGTAAACACTAGAGGAACTACCAGCCAAATTTATGTTTAATCCCTCGATTTTGCCACATGGACGTGATATAATAAATAACAGAATGGAAAAGTATAAAGCATACATTGTATTTGCACGTGTACCACGCCCAACAACAGTGTTTACGTAACATTTTTACGAAATAAAATTATTTAAAAATTTACTATTAGTCTGTTCATATTATCTCAACGTTGCAATGTTGCAACAATCGATGCATGCGTTATTTTACTGTCAGTGGAAATTGCAAATGAGAGATTTAGGTGGAGTTTCAATGCATCCACAAATTGATATTCAAGCCAAACTTATGAATATTTTTATTTAACCTACATGCAGTTGTAATGAATTTACAATATTAAATTTGCATTTTTTGTTTCTATATAAAATACTTGTATTTGAAAAGATATGAAATTATGCATAACATGAGATTACATCTGCTTGTCTATAGACGTAATAAATCATCGTAAATCGATCTATCAAACTCGTATCCAACGAATACTGAGTAATAAGATCCACTTTCACACATAATTGCCTATTACGTTATCTCGACTCTGACTAAACGGGACGGTCGCGTATAATGTTTACATTGCACTCTAGAAAAACTCCGTAATTACGGTACAGTCATACAGATTAACTGCAGTAGAGTGGTTTCGTTTAGTTTAACGTTATCGTAAATTATTCTTATTTACTGTTTATTTGAATCAATACTAAATATTATGCAAAACCAAGAGAAACATGGTTGCATTGTTTCGAACTGTGGTATTTCAAAAGTGAAAACATGCGACTTACGTAATTTTGCCTTACAACCGGACATATCGAGAGAAAAATTGCTTAAAAAATACATGAAGCCTCAATTGAAAGAATTTATCAATTTCAATATCCTTAATAAATTTAAATATTTAATAATTATATCGTGAGGATTATGTAATTAAGAAAGCTAAGTTTTCTATTCATTTTTTCAGAGAAATAAAAAATTAAACAGTATCTTATTTGTTTTATGATTGAATTTGTTCGAAAGTATTGTAATTCGTTTCTGTTAATTTTTCTGTTATGCTATCATGTGACATAAATTTTAAACCGAAGTGTAGTACATAAACTGATATACACGTTATTATTTATGCACTCTTTGGATCTCATGGTCTTTTTCCTCATCCATATAGTACACGTTCCTGCTGCTGGCTGTCGTAATTGGCATCGTCGCTGGGAAACCGGGATATTTGGGTGGATTCGGAGGATACGGGGGATACGGCGGTTACTATCCATACCTTTATAATTACAAATATCCGGGTTACGGATATGGATACGGACATTATGGTAAGAAACTATTCACCATTGCACAATGAGACTTGGGACTCGACAGAACTGCTTCCAACGTCAATGAATCTTTTGTACACTCTTCGATAAACAGCTTGATTTAATATTACACAAAGTTTGACGTTCTCGAAAGGAATGTTTTAAAAGTTACTATGTGGAATTATGCGAGGCGTTCCAAAATGATGGAGCACGTCGAGACGCGTAAATTCATCATGCAAAGAGAAATCGAAAAGTTATATTTCATTTTGTAATCTGACGCTTCGTTTTCGAGGCACAAGCAATTAAAATTCATATTAATGGTTTTTAGTTTGCATCACACATACCCACACGATTACAATTGCTCAATTTTTAACGAATTTTCACAGTGATTTTATTAATTTCTCACAAACCAGAATATCACACTATTTACTAGTTACGTGATTTTACAATTTTTAAATAAATTTTACAATGTTAGCGTCAGCCTCGATATAACACTAACAAATCATTAGAAAACTTTTTTAAAGAGAAACATTAACGACTGTTTCTAAATTTAAAATTTTTCATGCACTCGAATTTTAATATCTAAGTTTTATTTCCACGAGCACGAAGAATTTGTTTCTTTCGGTATCTCTTGAAATTTTGGGGCATTCTGTGTAAAACTCATTTCATAAAATGTCAAACTTAACGTTCGTTAGTTTAGGGTTTTGTTTTTTTTACTAAAAATCAAGATATGAACAAAATATTCATGGACGTTGTGCTTATGATCGATCTCAATGTAAACAAAACATTCATCGACGTTACATTGTCATCCTAATTTGCTTTTCCCTTTAGGCTACCCCAGTTATGGTTATGGTCATGGATTTGGTCACTTCGGTGGTCACTTTCACTAATCGAAAAGACGACCATTTGGATTCCACGATATACGATGTGGGAAGGAAAGACGTTTAGAACGATCGTAATACCGATTCTATTATCGTAATCCCGTTTTTCAACATTGGAACCGTGCTAACGAAATGCGTCTACTTTTCGTCACTCGAAGATTGCTATCTATACTTCTAGTGCAACTGCATTTATTGTTTCTTTCCCTGAATTCTGAATCATTGATCGCAACGATACGAAATCAATAATGAACACACTTCTCGAACAGGCATATATATTCTCGATGTCGTTGAAGATTATGCGAAACGAATAAATAAACCATAGACTTTAATGGAGGCACCATGTTTGAAATTATTAATGTGTCTGATACAAACATATCTTAGACAATAAATCTTACAGTGAAAGAATTATATATTTTTGTATCGGTGACACTGAAACGGCAATCGACATACTTATAATTTTATTCAAAATTCACGCTTGAATTAACAATTTCTACCGTTACAGAAAATTTAAAACAAGCACCATGAATTGTTTAAACTTATAACTAAGAATGTATTGTTACGAATATTGTTAAATAAATTTCTCTTTATTTCCTACTGCTTCCGTTTCTATGAAGGGGCTTCACAAATTTCCGATTTGCAATTGTTCTAGGATATTATCTATCATTAATGGTTTCTGTACGATACGTTTAATGGGTGTGTGGTATAACATATCTTAATTAATACGTAGAATGATACAATAAATCGCGATAAAACGAGACGATACTTTGGAAAAAATCTTTCTAATGAATTTCTAAAAATTCTAATGATTTTTGACAGCAAAACTTTAATTTCATTGATAAAGAGATTGAAAACCTATAATAAACTAGTATAGACCTCTGTCAATGATTTGATTAGTGAAATACTGTTGGGAAAGCTTTAAGTGTGATAATTGTTTGCATTATAGCTTCAGAGACAAAAATAGTAGACTAATGGTCGGATACAGACGAGTCAGATGTTATAATTAGGATCACATTTATCTACATCGATGTTTTTACGAAGGAATTCTGTGTCACACATCTTTCTTTAACGTTCGACATTACCTGAATCGTCCTGTTTAGTAGAACAAGTCATCGATACACCGACTATGTTCTCGTACAATCTGATCAGATAACGTAGAAACGGTGGAACCCGACAGAGTCAACCACGGCCCAGTGTGTACGCATGTAAACACACATGAATCGTTGGAAAGGGATAGAGTCGGTACCACAATGGTTGAACACGAAACAGACTTTCCCATGCCCCATTGGATCATAACGACTTCGGACTTGCGTGAGTCAATATGGACGATTCACGTGAACGAACTCACGAGACCCAAAACAAACGAACACGGTCGATTTTAAACTTGGTTATGAAAATCAATAGACTACTTGAAACTGTAAATACCCAAGAGAGAAAATTCTGGGATTGTTGAACCCAATATAAGTGACTTGAGGCTCGTGAAAGACAATACAGAAGAGTTCAGATTTGTGAAATGCAATGTGAACGATTTGGGACTTTGGATATCAGAGATAGCTTGGATTGTTTGGTAACCAATAGAGAAATGACTTAGAAAACTAGAATTGTGAATGTAGATATTCATATCTTGACAACACAAGCGACTGTAGACTCGTGAGACTTATACAGTAAATCTCAAACGTACAAAGATACGATTTGAAGACATCTGCATCTCAAGTTCAATGAGTTCAATGTCAGCTCAGTAGAGACTCGTATGACTAATTGTAAGTCGGATGATTCTAAGGTCAATTGTAGCGAGTGTCGCGTGTCCTGTGTCGCCTGTAATATGTTTCACGAGTCCAAAGTTGTGAGTATCAGGTTTGACCGCGTCCATAGTCGCGTGTATCAAATTTTCATGTACTCAGAGTCGTCCGTATCGTATTACACGACCCTAAATGCTTCTGTATCACATTCCATGAGTTTGGATTCCTCTGTACTATCTTCCACAGGATCACACGCGTTCGACATTGTCAGTATCGAATTTCAGGTGCCCAATCGACATTTTACGAACGACACGGGACTCGAGTGTTGTCAGATTTAGGATATTACAGTAATCTAGCATCGGAACTTGCAACTAAAGCATCGTTGGTGTCAGATCTTGCAACTCAGAATTTATTGGTTTTGGTTTTTAATACACTAGACAAATTCCTCAAAATTACTGCGATATAATGTCTGTGGCCTCATCTGCATCCGATTAGACATTACTGCCACACAGGTATTATTTCTAAAAACTTGGACATCGTGGATATTTCGTCACAGGATCGTAGTTATCGTTGAATTATCTTTGTTCTCATCAGTGTCGCTCATTATTGCATTAGACAAGTTGAAAGTCTGATCACAGTCTTGTCAATGTCAATTTCTTCATCCATTCGTCTTTTTCTAATTCTTCATAAAACTTACGCATTCCATTTAACTGTCATTTAGTTAATTCATTTGGCAAAGAATGTTGTCCTCGTAGTAAAACGTCATTCTTAGTACAAATAAACATTACTGTATACAAAGGCATTTATCAATCCGAACATTGCTTTTAAGTACAGTAACCTTTCAAGTATTTTATTTCCTTTTTTAAATAAACGTAACTTTTATACTTTTTACGTGTGTTCTAAACTGTGTTGACTCAATTTGCCTTACATCCTGTGGTTCGAGCAAATAATGATCGAGCGTATGATAAAAAGATCAAGCGGGTCGAATGTATGATATGCTCGTTGTAGGATAATCAATAATTTCTATTAGCAAAAAGATATATTCCACTTCGCGTGTCCAGGAAAAAATCTTGACTACTGACTTGCGAGAATTCCTAATTGCAATGTCGAACGATGCCGTTGAGAGGTGTTAAAAGCAAGTATTGAACCTTTTATGCTGTGTTAGTGAAATCTTCGTTCTCTGTATATTTCCATTTAATTGGGCAACGCCGACGCGATTAAGAGAGAATGCGACTGCAGGTGCACAGGTCATCCTCGACTTTTCAGGTCGTCCAGACTTTTACTTTGGAACAAGTTAACCGCAATTGATTGCAAACGCGACGTTAACAACCATCCGTGCGCAACATTTTATCAAGAATATTCCTTCCCGTGTACATAATTCGAGTACAAAGTGTTACGAATTTGATTTCCATAAAAATTTGAACATAATCGAAGGCGAGACAAGAGAGGTACTTGCAACGATGCGTCCTTCTCGACGAACTTTCTGGTCCTCGACTTGAATAAAAATTTCAGAAGACGTTACATAATCTCATATCCACTATGCTTTTACACGCCGTATCGTAGTATGTTGTGTATATCTTGTGAAATCACTTATGGTCACTTACAGCGTCTCAAGTTTACCTTGATAGACGGATTCATTAATGATGTACTAATTCGTCTCAATTAAAATTCGAAGGTTGTCGCGTGGTCCGAACAAGGACGTTGACAAAAGTATAGCAGTAAATTTTCAATTCCATAGGCGTGAATCGACATTAATCACTTGGGTACGATTCCTGAAAGTATTTAGTTCCTTTTTCTCGTTGGTTAGATTCCACAGCGAAGGTTGCTGATAAGCATGATCATAAATAACGCGTAAGTAGCTCCTAAAAATATTCTTCATCGGGGACGCGTTTCGAAATTTTTTGTTTCGAAAACGAAAGTGAAACACTATGCTGCATCTATTAAGTCGTAACAATTTTATCTTGGTAATATTTGTTTGCAAATAACTGGACAAATTCACACGTAACGAGTCGTCTTTCTTTTACCGCCTCATAATCTCAAATTAGAGACGGATTATAAATCGTACCTCCGGTGAACACTGTTTGAGGTCAGATCCTGATTAGAGAAAGGGATTGTATCTATAAATCAGAACTGCGTGACATTCTCGTTTGGGAACGAAAAAACACGTTCGAGAGAAGATTCGATGTTTCTCTCGTGAAAAATTATGGCCTCCCGTTGTGTCGTTTAAGCTGGACGAAGAAAGCGCGTCGTCAAAAGACAACTTTGTCCCAAAGATCATCATCGTCTTCGTTAACGATGTTATCCAACGCAAGGAAAAGATCGAAGGCCACACGAACCGTGATTACGACCTTTTCCGTGGTCGCGGTTGCCCCTTCATTCAGTTGAAAACTAAGTACTGAGAGAAAGGTTAGTCTCATGAGGAAAAGAACTTCATTCATACGTGGAAAGAATCAATTCCGTCGTAGCATCGATTTCCGAAAAAATAATAATAATTTTTGCTACCCATTACCGTTGGTATTGTTCGAAACTTTGGATTATACAATATAAATACACTATTTAGTCGAGTTAGTTGTATAAATATTAAATTTAAGTGTTAACCTATGAGACAACATTTCACTCATGTTTCCTTGCAAATGACTGAAATCATTATGTACCGAGTGAATGGTACTCGAAGGCAATGAGTCGAATAATTATGAAAAGAAGTTTACGTGTGTACGTCCAAAGCCGATTTGCACTACTTGAAACGCCTCCTTTCGCATTCCGTTGCCTCATTTTCGTAATCGTGGGAATTCGGTTACCATAAGAAGGAATTACCAGATCACATTCAATATAGTACACAATGTTCACGAAACTATGAAGAAATGTATCTAATAACAGGGAAAACGGTTCGCTAGGTACCAATTGTTAATGTTCTCAGTAATTTAAGGCAAAGTTCAGTCTACAATGCTAGTTGGAAGAAGAGTCACATTCACTTCGCATCCACATTCGATATAACGTTTCTTAAAGCTCGACAAATGATATTTAATAGCTCTGAATATATCTAACGTTTCATAACGCGGAATATAAATTGTTTAATTACTGTACATTTACGATCGTGCGTAATGTTAGAGAGGTCGTAAAACATTTTTAGAATAGAGTTCCGTTTCTGACGAAAGAATAATTAAATTTAAAAGGAACAACTTGCTACGTAAATGTATTGTGACAAACTTGAGAACAGAAATGAAATGAAGTCGATGTACAAGATTAATTATAAAAATTCGATAGAAACGTCATATTTTACTGTCTACGAATCGAATTACTAGTGTTCCCAGATACTCTCAAGGTTTCCTCGAAGTGTATCTTGCGCGTACAGCGGTTTACGATCGGCCATTATAAGCAATGAAGAGGGATGGTGCTAAACGAGTGATTGCTTAAGAGAAATGGGTTGGCCCATTTATGTGCCAATTGCCGTCGATAATAACTCGCGCCTAAGTTTCTCGGTACATTCTATAAATACGTTAGCGATTAACGTGTCAGTTTTCGACGAACGAACGTCAAAATATGAAATCGAGTCGCGTCGGTTGAAATTGACGAGGACAACGTTTTAAATAGATATAATTAATTAAAGTGGCGTACCGTCGTATCAGAAACGCGCTAAGACCAATGAAACTGACTCGCGAGGCTCGCGATCGTGCGTAACTAATGGTTTTCTGGAGTGTTTGTATACTTCGTTATTTGTCAAACGCTCGTCT